TATGCCATTGGCTTGGGTGTGAGTTGGCGACCTCTGGCCCTTATTGGTGCCTGTATCCCCGCCATCCTCGCCGTCTTTACGTTCTTCTTCCCGCCCTCCCCTCGCTGGCTGTTTGGTCGAGGACGTCAACAAGATGGTAAGCCGGCTTTTCAGCTCTCCAATCCACCAGTTTCGTCCTGATCTCACCCAAAGGCTCTCTCTCGGCTGAAATGCTCATGAACCTACTTTATCTTCCCTTTGGCCAACCCACAGCGGCCGTGGCTCTGCAGAAGCTGCGTGGCCCCCTTTTTAATATTGACGAGGAGATGAATGACATTGAGAACACCGTGCGCCAAGCACAGGCAGCCAAGAATACATCGCCGCTCGACGTTTTCCGAGGCGGCGCCGGCAAGGCCATGTTCATCTCTGGTGTTCTCATGCTCTTCCAGCAGTGCTCCGGCATCAACGTCGTCATTTTCTACAGCGGCAAGATCTTTGAGGATGCCGGCATGTCCAACCCCAACGTGCCCGCTCTGATCGTGTCCGCCGTTCAAGTCGTCATCACCGGCCTTTCCGGAACCATCATTGACCGCGCCGGCCGGCGTGCCCTCATCATGGCCGCTGGTATCGGCATGGCCGCCTCCTCAGCCGTTCTCGGCTATTACTTTTACGAACAGGACCAGCACCAAAATCCCAACGGCATTATCGCTGTCATCAGTCTTGTCCTGTACATCTTCTGCTTCTCCCTCGGCCTCGGTGCCGTGCCTTGGCTCATGATGTCGGAGATTTTCCCCAGCAACGTCCGTGGCATGGCTTCCTCCATCTCCACCCTCCTCAACTGGACCTTTAGCTTTGGCATTACCGAATCCTTCCAGTCTCTCATCGACGCTCTGACAGAGCAAGGCGTCTTCTGGGCCTATGGTGGCATTTGCTTGCTGGGTACCATTTTCGTCCTTCTCAAGGTTCCCGAGACCAAGGTCCGTCCCTCACCCTCTCGTCCACTCTTCTACCCCTCTGGCTTTGCGCTCTTTACTCGTTCTACACGCCAGACCCCACCATGTTGTATCTCTGCGCGACACACCTTGACCCAATTTTCATCTCACGCAACGCACCTCCCTCTTTTGGTTCACGTAGGGCCGCTCCCTCGAGGAGATTGAGCGCTTCTTCGCCGGCGACAAGACCGCCGGTAACCAGCACATTGACGGCGCGGGCACGGGTGGCTTCCTGGTCAAAATCGCCTCTTGCTGCGCCCTCCTCTACGTTGGCATTATTCTGTTGGCCTCCAACGCGTAGAACCTTTTTTCGACTCAACCTGCCGGGATTGACAACCACGGGCATGACAAGTATCGCTTTTGGGAGCATCGTCTCTGGTCGTTCTTGGTTCCTAGCATGGGAAAGAGAGGCGTACCCTTGTCAGTCATTTTTGCACGCACATAGCCACACACGCGCACACTCTCTCAAGTGCACATGTGTGGAACGCCATGCTCTTGACTCCCGCTCATCTCAGGGCAAGCCAAACCAATCGAGTAGCGCTAGTTTTAGAGGCATGTACATTCTTGTGAAAGAAGACGAGCTAATACTTGTCAGACTTTTTTTTAAAAAATTGAGAGTGCATTTATATAAACACTTAACGACCAGAAATTTCGGTATCTTATACCCCATTAAGTGCAGCGCGCGTGGTGTAGTGGTTATCACGTCTCGTTTACACCGAGAAGGTCATCAGTTCAATCCTGGTCGTGCGTATGCCAAGTTTTTTTTTCTTTGTTGCCTTGATGCTTGCCAGTCAATAAGGGGAGATGTGGCCGGCGGGGCAGTGCAAGTGTGACTCTCAATTACGGGCATGGGTAATGGATGCACAAGTAGGGTGGTTTGATCGATAAGTCGGGTGGATGGTCGTGATGGTTTTTGTGAACGACCCATTTAGACAGCCTCTTCGGCAGTAGTACTGGCAAGCCGGGAGGGCGGGTCGGACGGCAAGCCAAGCTCGTCGTCTGGTGCCGCTGTCCGGCCACCAGAGACAAACTGCACCATTTCGTGTGGGTGCAAGCGGTGCGTGGTATTGGCCTCGAACCGCCGCCGGTTTTGCGACAAGATTGCCGCTCGCAGCTGAGAGGAAAAAGGGGTAGTAGGATGGGTGAGAGCAACAGCCATCCTGCCGTGGCAAGGGACAATGGCTGACTCACCTCTGTCATGCCGATGGTGCCCACAAGTCGGCCCATTTCGGTCACATAGGCCACGTTGGCACTTAGTGTTGAGAAGAGCACATGAACCTGACGCATGCACGACCAGCGACACATCGAACCACGAATCAAAGTTGATCTCTGCCTTTCTGACGATGGCGCTTTCTCTTTTGTTGTTTGAGAGGCAACGGATGCATGGGCGGGGAAAGGCAGGCTTGGGTCTGGCGCACCTTGTACAGTGATGTTTGGGCCACGATTTGGAACGGCGATGCGTCAATCGGCACACCCGTCAAGTCCACCGTCCGTTGCAAAAGGAGCTTGCGTGCCTCTTGATTCTGCCAGCAAGGGATCGGCACAGAGCGCACGCTCATTAAACCCCAGAAACGCGATCGGTATCACGCTTGCCTTCTACCACGTACCACAGTGACTTGTGGGCCAACGGCGGTCATTTGTTCAATCAGCAGATTCTTCAAGACGTTGCGATGCACGCTGCCCAGCAGCATGTGCGATTCAAGGTCGTCCACCAAGGGAAATTGCTTCATGTCCTTGTTTGCTCGCAACAGCCGATTGATTTTGCCGTACGTGCAATGTAGCGAAATGGCCGTTGGCTGCCGGCGCATAATGCTTTGGGCCGTCTACGAACGAGAAAGTTGTTACTTCAAGTAACAAGAATCCAGGTTTTTCATGTCCCCGCAAATACACACGCGCGCGCGCGCGCACCACACACACACACACACACACACACCTGGTTATAGCCTGGCCCACGGCGAAGGTCGGGCAAATAAGGAAGACCACGCAGCTGAATAATCGAATCGTATATGGATGGCGTCAGCATCTGAGCGTGCAAAGCAGCAAGCAAGGTAGCAGCGTGAGCCTCTGCACTAAGCCGAGTCCAACGCCGCCCGTGATTTTGCATGTGCATGAATCTGCAGGACAGCACGCCTGAAAGAAAGCGAGCGCGCGGGAGGGAGAGAGAGAAAGAGAGAGAAAGAGAGAGCAAAAGGGGGAGAACCCTCGCGCAAGGCACACCTGGGCAACGGCATTGCTAATCAAGACGGCAACCATGACAGGTAAAATGTGGTGGATCTGTCCCGTCAGCTCAAACACAATCACCGAGGTGGAGATGGTGTGCGTCACCGCGCCGGCCAATGCTGCTGCCCCAACAACCGCATAACCGCTATGCATGCGACACCCCAAGCAAAATACATTGACAAAACGCAGACAAAAGGTGGAGCCGAGCAGGGAAGATCCGGTCAGCAACAAACACGATGCTGGATGATCTCAACTCTGCAACCGCAAGATCGCAAACGCATACCCGGGAACAATGTGATCATCAGTGGCCCAGCCACACGAGTTGATGGTCTCGTTGTGCACAACAAAGTACGGCTCCGAATCAACGTGGCTAGCCGCAAGATGCAAAGACACAAAGGTTTAAAACCACATCGGGGTGCTCGGCCTGGCAACAAGGGGCTAATGGCTGCCAACCCATGCAGTCAAGACATACTCGCCCATGAGGCCGCCGGGAAAGATGATGGTCATCGATTCGCCAAAAAGGCGGCCCACGGCCGCCCCGATCACGAAGATGGGAACAAAGACACCCGCTGCACCATTGTCCAAGAAGCAAAAAAGACAGGACAAGACCATGAAAGATATGAGGCCCGCGCACACGTACGACCCATAAACAAGCCTCCACATGCAGCACGAACCGGGAATGGGCAACGTGGTGGCGAGAATTGAGAGCACAAACTTGACAAAGATGAAGAGCACCAGGCTGCCAAGGACATCCATGCCTTGCCACTCCTGCAAAACGTTGACGGGTCCGGGAGCAGAGGCGCACCAATTGGCAGCGTGGTGAGCCTGCATTCCATCCTGGGGGTGTCTTGGATTGGTCGGCAAGGTTGCAACAAACCGGCAAACAGCGCAGGGGCTCGATGGTAAATAGGTGGTCAATCTCCTTGGTCTGGACCAAGCTCATAAAAGGACCAATAGTGCCTGAGCAACCAGCGTCGCGTGACGAGCGATAAGATCCAAGGCCACCCCAATGCCACCTTTGTTGCAAACGTGCGTGAGAGGGAAATCGCAACTTGCCTCGGTAAGTCATGACTGATATGAACAAAGCCACAAGCGTTGGGTAGTAGTAGCGGTTTTTGGACAAGAAGGAGAACATGTGTCCCGCTAAGCCGCCGCGCCCCACGCCACAACTTGGTGAGATTAAACCATTCATTTGCAAGATGACAGACACGGCGAGAACACAGACATGCCCAGGCGGACAGAAACCTACGACTTGTGACGTCACGTTCTTTCTCAATGAGCTTGCGGTGAGCAACGATAAAAAGCGAGCCCAGGATACCGCAGGCAATTCCGAGAAATACGAAAGCCACCATTTCTTGCAAGTCAAAGGGGTATGCATCAAACTGCGACGGGGCACATTCATATGCAGTGAGAACCTTGATCGAACCACAGGGCCGCGAGCCAGATGCCAGCCCAAGGGGTGGAGAATGATGCAACGGGTACGGGTACTCCACCCCATACTTCTGTAGTGAAGAGTGCGGTAATGGTACGTTCACTCGACATGACGACGGCCAGCAAGCTACCGAGCCGAGTTGACAAGAGGTGAGTTGCAAGACGACGGCCAATGCCTCGCCAAAAAAATGATCGCGTGCGCAAAATCAAATCAACCTTACCGAAACACAAAGGCGCCGACAACGCTGGCGTAAAAGCCGCGCCAATAATTGCGGACGGCAAAGTAAGTGGACGTGACCTCGATGCTGAACAAGACACCGCCGATTGGCGCACCGAAATTGCTGGCCACGCCGACCGCGCACGCTAGTAGGAAGTCGAAGTGATGGCAACGGTTAAAAGAAAGCGGGGCTCAAGGCGTGCATCAAGTTTGTGTTAACAACGGGAGGGGCGCACCAGCGGCAAGAAGGTCGACGCGTCGGGCATCTACTTTGTAGATGCTGGGAAAGAGGCGTTTGACCAATTGCTCCTGGACGATACTGGCCATATGCACGAATGGACCCTCTTTACCCACGGGCAGGCCAGAGCCCTCGGCAAAGATGAGGCCTGAGACCCGCACGATGCGTTTATGACAGGCAGAGCTAATGAATCTTTTGCGTGCTTGAAGAGCAGATGGGGCATGGCGCGGGCGTGGTGGGACAAACGCACCAACGATTTTGGCAGCGAGGGTACGGCCGGAGAGATAGCCCTCGATGGGAGTGCCTTGCAAAATGGTCTACCAAAGACATTAAATTAGAGACATTGACGAGGATGCGCGCGCGCGCACAACCGAGCCGTGATGTACTGTGACTCGAGCGGACCTTCATTTGAGGAATACCAGATCCAATGGCATCGGCTGAAAGCCAGTGGGTGGTTGCGGTAGCCATAATAACGCAGGTGACGGTAAAGGCACTCCAGGCCACAAACATGTACGAGGGATGGATCCCAGCTAAGGACCCAGCACGCACATGCCCGAGGCCATGGATGCATGGGGAAGGACAGCGATGTGGGTCAGGAGGAGCCCGATAATCAGAGGCAAAAGGGCGTAAAGCAGCGAGTCGACTAAAACGCACAGGTTGCCAAATCGCGGAGGTGGTGGAGTGCAGAGATGGCAAAGTCGAGGCAAAAGCCAATCAGAGCGATGGAGACGCCTAGTCAAGTGTGCGCGGGGAAGGAGACGGAGATTGAGCGAATCAGGATGAGTTGGGGCCTGCATGCCGGCCTCGGTGGTGGTGGTGCGCACCCAATAGGCTGAGGACCAGCCAGTCATCCCCTACAAGCTTTGAGAGCTGCTGAAGGACATCCTTGATCAAACGCTGCCACCTGCGAGTGAAGACGGGGGCCCATGATGCGGTAAGGGCCATGGTGGCGAACAAGTGCAGGACTTGGTGACTTGGGTGAGGCACTGTACCAGGAACTGACCAACGAGGCCGGGTGGCAGGCTGGGAGTGATCGCGGAGCAAGAGGATGCTGTCGCGGTCCTCGGCATCTGAGTCATAGACCAAGCTGGCGTCGGACGACAGGCATCGGGTGAGAATGAGGGCCAAGCTGCGGGCAAGATACTGATGAGGTACCTGTTGACGGACGCTTGGCGCTGGCGCTGGCGCGAGGATTCTGCGTCCTGTCCAAACGAGTGCAAGTGGAAAGCATGAGGTCAGCTCAACGCGGCCGGGCATGATCAAGGCAACAGGTGGGTGTGGCGCGCGACAGGAAAGCAAGCCCGCACCGAAGCGGTCGCACTGCCACTCGTGACGTAGGAGAACGGGCGCGTTGTTTGTAGATCCATGACGCTTGGCAGCCAGCTTGCATAGGGCTGAGGGCTGAGGTCTGAAGTCGGAACGCGACTGGTGATGATTGTTCTGCAGGAGGCGCTAGCGCTGAGGATGTGTGCCTCGCGGCGCAGCAAAGGCCGTGGGCTCAACCTAAACAGCAAGCCGCTATCGCTCCGCTTCCGCCATGATCGGCCTGTACACTGATCAAGCCACAAGGAGACACAGGAGAGAGAGAGAGAGAGAGAGAGAGAGAGTGTGTGTGTGTGTGTGTGTGTGTGTGTGTGTGAGTCAGAGAGCAGATCAGATGGACCTTGTCGTCGTTCAGATAAAAAAATTGAAAAAATTTGGCAAAAGAGAGAAAAAAAAAGAGAGAGAGAGAGAGAGAATGAGAGAGAGAGAGAGAGAAAAAGAGAGAGGGAAAGGCACTCATATCATAAAATAGTAAAATACTTTCTATGTTTGTCACGACGCCCTTTTTCATTGCCTGCATGCATGCGTCGGTTAGAATGGGACACGCAGCTCCTTGGGGGGCTGTGTTTCGCTTTTGGGCTACGGAGGCGGGGGCTGGTTGAGCGAGAGCGGGTGGGTTGGTGCTGTTCTTGATGGTTGCTGGAGCAGGCCAAGCCCGGCACGGGCGTGCGGACGATCTTGACAAAGGTTGTCGAGGATGCCCATATCAAACTTGCTCGTCTTTCAAGTCCGGAACGAAGCAGCCTTTGCACCCGCCAAACTTGAGTTGTTGTCCTGGTGATCGACCGCGTTGCACACGCACACCCTGGTCTCGTCGCTGCGTCTCACTTCAAATTTCACAGTGCTCCATGTCAACCAACTGTCAAGGCACACATACATGTACACACACACACTCACGACCTCGTTGGATAGCAGCCAACAGCCCCACACGACAGGAAAAGACTCCAAGCCGCACATCCAGGCACGGTCGGCGCGTCCACACAAGCCAAAGAACAAAGCCAAACGCTCTGGTTCGCCATCCTTGCGGACCCTTTCTCTGAGTGCACGTAGAGGTGGTGTGCTATGTGTGGCTGTGTGGCTGTGTGTGCATGTCTGCTTCT